ATGATGTAAAGTTCACTTAAAGAAAACTTATGAGTATACTTGTAGTATAAAACTACTAAACTAGTAGTTTACTGAGACTATACTTCAAAGTGTACTAAAAATGCTACTACAAGTATTTAATTAGTAAACTATCAGTATACCTATAAGTTCACTTTTAGTATAGTTGCAGTACAAACTAAACATTTTGATGTATACTAGTTGTGTACTCAGTTTACTACTGTTATACTTAAAGTATACTTAAAAGTATACTTTTATATACTAGAAAGTGGGCCAATTTAGTCCCAAGGAGTATTGAAATAGTACACTGATATCTGTATACTTACTACATAAAGTATACTTAAAAATATACTTGAACTTTACTTAAGTATACTTACTAAAATAAACTTGAAGTATACTACTTTTTGGTAAGGGGAACAAAGAGGCAGTGTCAGATCAAAGTGAATCAGCTGTCCAAAACATAAACTTTAAACAAAAAAGGTCAATGTTTAAGATGTTTGCATTGCATCACGCTGTAGCGTACCAGACAGACTAGTCTGCTCATTCATAGAGCGCTACAGTATCCTCACCTATTTGCCATCATATGAACAGCAGACCTCTGAAAAAATCCCACAGCAAGACATGAATCCTTTGCGATTACCTGGTCGAGAGCCTAAAGGGTATCATTTGACATCGTCAAAGACATCTCAAAAGACATCTCCTTTTTATCTAACAAATACATAACAATTACAGTTTATATTTCCAGATTCTTACTAAATTATTAACTAAGGGTTTTCAGATTGGGTTAAGGGGACCCCCAGGGGGCCACAAGGGAGCACTGAGGAACCATGGAAGGTGGGGGCGGTGGGCAGTGTAAAAAACAAAAAAATGAATAAAATGAATTTAAAATAGTTTGTGGGGAAAATACAAATGGAGCATTGAAAAATCTAAAATACATTTGAAGAAAATCAAGATATTTAATTAACATCCTCAACATCTTTTTAAAAAGAAATATAAGTATGATTTCTAAATCTGGAAACTTATAAATAATAAATAAAATTAATTAAAATAAAAAGTATTAAGATAAATTGATATGACAACATTAGAGTTAGAATACTATTGTAAGCAGAAAAAAGTAATAATGTAATAATAAAAACTAAATATTTTCCAAATAATATTCTATACATTTATAATAATAATTTTCACAGTGCAAATTAGGACTTCATACATTCAAACACACATCTGCCTTTTAAATTTTAGGATGGCACAAGGATGATAACCTAAAAGCCTCAAAAATCCTAAAACTGAACCATAGCTCTCAAAAATAGTTGAACAACCAAAGACAATGATAACTGTATTGAATTATTGCTACAGATATCCTACATTTCTACCATGTCTTACACATGTAATTGCAAAATTTATGATTGTACCTTGATGGCCAAGTCTACCTGACCCAGGGCAATGTGTGTCGAAGCAACCACAAACATAGTGCGACCGTTGTGTTCTGTGATCTGGTTGAGTTTAGTGAGAGCACCCTGCCAGTCCCGGCTGTCTATTGCTCTCACGGCCTCATCCCACAGCTTGATCAACTCTATGTAGGATGGCACGAGGATGATAACCTAAAAGCCTCAAAAATCCTAAAACTGAACCATAGCTCTCAAAAATAGTTTAACAACCAAAGACAATGATAACTGTATTGAATTATTGCTACAGATATCCTACATTTCTACCATGTCTTACACATGTAATTGCAAAATTTATGATTGTACCTTGATGGCCAAGTCTACCTGACCCAGGGCAATGTGTGTCGAAGCAACCACAAACATAGTGCGACCGTTGTGTTCTGTGATCTGGTTGAGTTTAGTGAGAGCACCCTGCCAGTCCCGGCTGTCTATTGCTCTCACGGCCTCATCCCACAGCTTGATCAACTCTATGTACAGCATGGCCCTCTAGAACAAAATAAAAAATAATCAACTGATATTTTAGAATCACTATATACCAAGATGTACTGAGAAAACACCATATTTTGGTCTCTAATAACACTAAGAACAAAAAGAGTGAATGTGACAGCTGCCCGCAAATACAGGTCTTGTAAGAAAATAAAACCATAAAAGCAAAATCTAATACTACAGTAGCACAATGACCGACACTTACCACTGCTCAGAAACTGACAGAGATAAGTCAGGAACTTGAACTGCTTTCTAGAAGTGATCAATCATGAATATGAGCGTGGCTCCTGAACAGGTGTAAACCAGAGTTCTTAGTGAACTCACAGGGAAGTGATTTTTGTAGTGTGACACAGCTGTGGTTCCTCCCACTTGCCATGCCTTCAGAAAGTCCCACATTCCCAGGAGAGAGAGAGACAGAGACTTGTAGAGCAGCAGGTGGGACACGTACACAATGGCTCAATTAAACAAAAAGGTGTTGCATAAGGAAATTGAAGAAAGACAATGTGCACACTTACATAATAACATATACAGCACACTACGGACAGAAACTATAAAGGCTGTCTGGCCAAGAGTTACACTACCAGGAAGCACTTAGTCATCACCTGACATTTATATTAATAGGGAAACAGTCAAGAAAAAGACTGGAGGGAGGAAGTCCCAGCATTGCTATATGTCTATTTTTACATAGCAAGTTTACAGCTTTAGATTTCTCACAAATAAGGTTATAATTCAATTTAATTTCACAGTATCTTAAAAACAAACAAACAAAAAAAAGGAAATGGAGATACATTGTGCTGTTTTGACACATTTGTAGCACATTTGTCCACATGTAGATATATTAAGATATATATGAACACCATAATAAACGGAGATACAAGTGAAATATCCAGGAGTGCAAATCTACTCTAATTCAACCTTCAAAGTTACCTATATGTACAGCAGATGGCGCTACAGATGTTTGGTAAACAATCCATCAAGGGCTCCTCCGCTCTACGGTATTTATAAATAAAAAAAAGCTACAAACATCTATGGTTTGTAGTCTAAAACAAACAAAGTACATTACTTGTACATCTAAAAATACATTTTTATGTATTATGTAAAATGTAAAATGTTTTTATGTATTCATGTACAGTACTACATTTCGTTTTGAAGCTGTGTTCTCCTTCTCCTTCTCGTTTATTGTCCATTGACTCCTTACAAGTAAGCTGAGAGTTAGCTGCTTAACAATGTCTAGCCCTCTGGGTAAAAACAGGGCAAACCGGTAGTAGTGGTGTTTCCTTCGTGAACGAATCGGGGTCTGTGAATGAAACTTAAAAAAAAATAAAATAAATAAAAATGAATGCTGACAATGTGAATGATCCAAAGACTCGCTCATAATAACCATAATAACACACAAAACAAAAGACACTTGTCGCCACCTTCTGGTAACGATGTAAACTTCACAAATGGTCACTGGTCATTCTTGAACAACTCTGATGTCTATTATGGATCACGTTTGCAGTTTCCACTTCTCATGCTCATAACAGATATCAAATTTAGACCATATTTTTCGCATTGTGAAGAATTAGTGCAGCCTTTTTGGAGAGAGAGCTGGTTACAGTCCAGGGAGGTTGAGCTCCCACAACGACAGTGAAAATAATTTTGGTATTTTCTTGGAAAACAAAGATTTGTTTTCCTTGAGGTCTTTTGAAAAATGTTTTTATACATAAGTGAAGATGCTTTCCGTCTAAGCCCAACTTTTTCCAGTGGTACATCGTAGAAATTACAAGGAAACCTTTAAGTTATTATTATTATTATTATTATTATTATTATTACTATTATTATTATTAAATAATAACAATAATAACAATACATGTACAGTACTACATTTCGTTTTGAAGCTGTGTTCTCCTTCTCCTTCTCGTTTATTGTCCATTGACTCCTTACAAGTAAGCTGAGAGTTAGCTGCTTAACAATGTCTAGCCCTCTGGGTAAAAACAGGGCAAACCGGTAGTAGTGGTGTTTCCTTCGTGAACGAATCGGGGTCTGTGAATGAAACTTAAAAAAAAATAAAATAAATAAAAATGAATGCTGACAATGTGAATGATCCAAAGACTCGCTCATAATAACCATAATAACACACAAAACAAAAGACACTTGTCGCCACCTTCTGGTAACGATGTAAACTTCACAAATGGTCACTGGTCATTCTTGAACAACTCTGATGTCTATTATGGATCACGTTTGCAGTTTCCACTTCTCATGCTCATAACAGATATCAAATTTAGACCATATTTTTCGCATTGTGAAGAATTAGTGCAGCCTTTTTGGAGAGAGAGCTGGTTACAGTCCAGGGAGGTTGAGCTCCCACAACGACAGTGAAAATAATTTTGGTATTTTCTTGGAAAACAAAGATTTGTTTTCCTTGAGGTCTTTTGAAAAATGTTTTTATACATAAGTGAAGATGCTTTCCGTCTAAGCCCAACTTTTTCCAGTGGTACATCGTAGAAATTACAAGGAAACCTTTAAGTTATTATTATTATTATTATTATTATTATTATTATTATTATTATTATTATTATTATTATTATTATTATTATTATTATTATTATTATTATTATTATTATTATTATTATTATTATTATTATTATTATTATTATTATTATTATTATTATTATTATTATTATTATTATTATTATTATTATTATTATTATTATTATTATTATTATTATTATTATTATTATTATTACTATTATTATTATTAAATAATAACAATAATAAATAAATAAACAAATAATAACAGACCGTCAGTTATTTCAAGTCATGAAGACTTTTACTTTGAAATGGTTCCTTGACTTTTATTCTGAAACTATTGGGTAAATTATTGTTGAACTGCGAAGCTGCTATATTCATTGCTTTAGACAACCTTTAACATAATAACGGTGTAAATCACGCACCGTACTCTTGACCCAACAGGGATAAGCGCTCGTCTGTAACGTTTATAGACGACTCGTAAACAATGACACAGGTCACATGACAGCTGACATGATCACATGACTGTCAATAGCCCCGTGATGATTTCATGATAGTTTGCTAGATTTCAAGCTTGATGTATGGGGTCTCTGTGAGAATGGCTGCACATTGGCTTTTCCTCGGATTCATGTTGCTGATCTTCGGTGGAAAAACTGAGACACGTTTATCTGTGGCAAGTTCTGTTCTTCAGTTTTCCTATATTTGCCTGTTGATTTATGACATTTTATTGCTAACGAAGTGTTTCAGTTGTTTTCTTACAAATCTCTCTGTTCGTATTTCAAATTGTTCTTTTGTCCTCTTTGGAATGTTTTTGAATTTTCCTCTTTGGGACGTTTTCTTTATTTAGAAGGAAAAGCTCAATAATGAGGTCATCCCATCTCACAGAGACCTTGCTCCTGATTTCAAGGAAAAGTATTTTAAACAGGTTTCAGACCACTTCAATTACAACAGCCTTGGCAATGGCACATATGATCAGCGCTACCTTATTACAGGTGATAATCTACCACACTGCCATCTGTTAGAACTTTTATCTTTTTAAATCATATCTATACTGAGTGAGTGCATTGTGTGTTTATTGTAGATCAGTACTGGAAGAAAGGCAATGGACCTATTTTCTTCTACACTGGCAATGAAGGGGACATATGGGAGTTTGCACAGAATACAGGGTTCATCACAGAGCTGGCAGCAGTGCAGGGAGCCCTGGTGATATTTGCTGAGCATGTAAGATTTTCATGTAACTGTTGAATGATATGATCATGGAGGAAGTTAGACAAGTTGGGACAGTTCACTCAGTCTTTGATGTCAGGTTTATGCAGTCATACGGTCTATAACTGTCCACTAATCTTAAGCTTTGCTTTAAACTCTAGAGGTACTATGGAAAATCTCTTCCATTTGGGAAGGATTCTTTTAATATCCCTGAGGTGGGGCTGCTGACGGTGGAGCAGGCCCTGGCTGACTATGCGGTGATGATCACAGAGCTGAAGAAGGAACTGGGAGCTCAGAAATGTCCCGTCATCGTCTTTGGTGGAAGGTGGGTTTCTCATTTTGTTGAGAAACTTATCTTCTGACAGACATACTGTGTGTATATATACACATACGTATATCCATACTGGTTACATAATATTATTTTATTATTAGGAAGCTAAACAAATATAATAATAACAATAATAAAAAACAAATACTGTCTGTACTGTACATTGGCAGTCAAAAGTTTGAAATGACTCACATTTGTAATGTTTTTGAAAGTCTTTTTCTCACCAAGGCTGCATTTATTTGATAAAAAAAATAGTAAAATTGTGAAATATTACTACAATTTAACATTTTCCGTTTAATATATTTTAACATGTAAAATCCTGTGATGGCAAAGCTAAATTTTCAGCAGCCATTACTCCAGTTTTCAATGTCACATGATCTTTAAAAAAAATAATTGTAATATTCTCATTTGCTGCTTAGTTTTTATTGTGCCCAACTATTAATAATGGTTATTTGGTTCTTTTGGAAAAAGTTTTTTCTGCTTAATATTTCTGTGGACACCATGATACATTCTTTGAATACAAAGTTCAAAAGAACAGCATTGATACGAAATGGAAATCTATTGTGACATTAAATATTTTTTACTCTTACTTTGGATCAGTGTAATGGATCTTTGATAAATAAACTATTTTCTTTTTGTATTATTACTTTTCCCAAAATTATTCAACAGTAGCGTACCATGGTTTCCACAAAAATAAAAAAATAAGCAAAAACTGTTTTCAACATTGATAAGAAATGTTCCTTGAGCAACAACTGATTTCTGAAGGATCATGTGACACTGAATACTGGAGTAATGGCTGCTGAAAATTCAGTTTTACCATC